GGATGTCCTTATTAGTTGCGCCCCTGAATCGAACGAGGCTATCCGGGAGATGAAGGCCTTTAGAAGTTAGTTGCGTATCCTTTACAGGACGTTGCAGAACCAACCCCAACAGCCTCTGGCTTTTATGTGGTTTTTCTAGGCAAATTGACGTCCAGTAGTTTGCCATTGCTTACTGAACGGTCGGCTTTCTTGATAACACTGTCGAAACCACTGCAAGGCGCATGGCCTGCAGCTGGGATCGAAGCCGGCATTCTGGCATTACGAAGCGTTCGCATCGACTTAGCCACAGAGCCGACAGGCCTTTAGAGAGCAAAGTAAATTTCAAATATTACGTAGCTACGGAGAGTTCCAAAGTACCGATGTGTTGTTTAGTCCACCAAGTCCTTAACTGGTTATTTAACGACACCTTTTTTTGGGGGTGCCGAGTTGACCATGTATCTTAGTGCACTTGTATTCATGGCGAGGCGCAGACGCCGTCTGGAGGTGACAGGTTCAATTCCCGGCACGGTAACTATAGCTTTCGATTTTTATGTTGTCTAGTGTGTTCTTCTATCTTTCTACTTCTTTCTATGAGTGCCGTTCACAATACTTTCTGTTACTTGATTAATTCATAATATTTAACGGCTTAAAATGGTTCCCCTCTCTGTTTATTTATAGGAATGACGTATACACACCGGAACCTACCAATCAAATACCTTTCTTAAATGTTTGTGTATTCTAGACAGGGCAATAAGGTCTACTGTGTACGTAAATTGTTGCTGTGATTGTTATTTGACATTTGCCTCGTTAATATAAATTTCTGTAACCTATGGTGCCATTTCAATGGGTTGAAATGAATTCTGTCCGTATTCCATAGTCGTGGATTTCAAGCTGTACGATAGACATGGCCAATGAGACACCTTTTTTTGGGGGTGCCGAGTTGACCATGTATCTTAGTGCACTTGTATTCATGGCGAGGCGCAGACGCCGTCTGGAGGTGACAGGTTCAATTCCCGGCACGGTAACTATATAGCTTTCGATTTTTATGTTGTCTAGTGTGTTCTTCTATCTTTCTACTTCTTTCTATGAGTGCCGTTCACAATACTTTCTGTTACTTGATTAATTCATAATATTTAACGGCTTAAAATGGTTCCCCTCTCTGTTTATTTATTTAACGAGCAGAGTCTGATTTGGACTTGATGAGACCATAAGCTGTGTCAAGCCCTGAGGCCCCTACCGTTTTAAATCACACCAGCCGATCTCAGAAAACCGTAAAATATATACTTATCAACTTAGATGTGCTACATTATTAGAATAAACAACCTGAAATAATATACCCAAAATAATATAAATAAAATTAGAAAATCTCCAGGGGAACTTAAAAATCAATTAAACGAATTTGCAACCAAAAAAAAAAAAAAAAGTATGTTTGTGGTAACATATTGTTCAGGCCCCTGCATATTGTGAGGCCCTAAGATGAAGCTTAACCTAAATCTGGCACTAACCAGTAACCTATCTAGGGTGCCTCCGTTTCTCTGCCTGTGCAACCTCTTCTGCCTGGCAGGCCGATGCACCTTGCCTGAGGAAAGTACGCCACCCAGAGCCATAACACAGCTCTTAAGATCCATCTTTCTCACTTTAACTGACCAAGTTACACAATACTTTTGCTTGTCGGTTTATAAAGGAATATGCATTGCAACTTGTATGCATATTCATAATCGGATATCTTGCTGAAGCAAAGAAGCGAGCTACAGGGAAGAAACGCCTTAGTTGGGTGGGGGGTGGGGGTGGGGTACTTTGACGGGGATAAATGAGGTGACCGACAAAACACGAAAATATGAGAAAACGTCAATATAATCACATTATCAAATCAATAGAAACAGTAGCTGGACTGTAAATCAAATTAGCAGGCGATGCCTCTAGTTTCTCGCTGGACTTTCTGATGTAGTTTGTTGACAATGATATATCTGAGGCATCTTGAGCCGTTATTACCAACCTTATATTAACCTCAATCAGTATGAGTGTTCCGTACAGAATATTGACGTGTTCAATGAGGTCAAATCTGCACTCACTGTTGAACAGGCCTAACGAAATTTTACCTTTTACTTGCGAATCCCGCAACGTAATTTATGCAATTATCTGCAAACGATGCAGCAAGGCATACATTGGAGAGACTGGCAGGAAGCTAGCTGATCGTTTCCGGGAACACCTCTCCGATATCGACAAGAAGACACTCAAACCAATCCCTCTTCATTTTAATAGCCCTGACCACAGCGGTAAAGATGACATATCTGTCACAGCATTAAAATCTTGCTCTGGCGATCATACTACCCGCCTCGTTTTGGAAAATCGCCTTATCCACAGCCTTGGCGTTCTTAGTCCAAGAGGTATCAATATCCAACATACCTTCATCTAAATAGTTCTAATCTTATCACATTTTAAATGTTAATTTTTTTTTTTTTTTTTTCATATTATTACCTTATTCTATTTCTTATCAGTATCATTTATGTATCATTACCACTTGCATTTCTTTTATTCCCAGTATTGTGACTATATTTTTTAGCCATCGTTTATTTTATTTTATTTCATTTTTTCCGCATCACATTTTTTTAAAGCGCTCACGTCACCCCTTAGAGATCTACATACTCTCCATTCCTCGTTTGTGTCTTTCACTTGTGTTTGAAAAAGGCTGCCCAGCCGAAACGTTACGTTTTGTTGTTTTGTGCACGTTTTCCTCTTTCCCATTTTGTTGAGCTTTTTAGTCAAATTTCTCTGGAATTCATTGTATTAGCTTGACTGCAGTCACCCCCATAGTTTAACCAGAGAAACTTATGCAGACTAGAAAGAACCGTATCGCTAATCCCACACTTACTGCGGCTTCCGCCTGTTGTCCGCACTGCTCAAGAACTTTCCAGACTCATGCTGGACTAATCAGCCACCTTGGTACTCATAATCTTTTATTATTACTGCTTTGAAGGAAAAGTGGTCTTCATCATCACTCGTGATAGACGAACAACAACAGTAAAATAGAAAATATAGTTATTAAATAGGCGGAGACGACCAGAAGAAACCCTAAACGAACGTTAGTGAGAGAGGCCAAAGGTGCTGGACCAGATTCCATCCATGAAATCGAAGGGATTGCACAGGATAGAATGACATGGATGAACAGACTGAGAGCCCTATGTGACATATAACGGCACAACATAGCAATCATCATCATCATCAATTTCCACTTCTGCTGTTAAACGACGTGGGAAGGAACAGTTTGCGATCCATTGCTAGATTGTCATTCCGTGTCGCTGTAGAAGCTCTTTAATGTTATCAGTCCGTATTCTCCTAGGGCAGAGACTCTCAAACTTCCTAATGCGGCGACCCTTTAATACGGTTTCTCATGTTGTACGGACCCCCTAATCATACCATTATTTTCGTTGTTGCTTCATAACTTCATTGAATATGTACTTTCTGGTGGTCGCATGCTACCCCTGTGAAAGGGTCGTTCTACCCGCAAATGAGCCGCGACCCACAGGTTGAGAACTGCTGTCATACGGCACCACCTTATACCTGTGTCGAAATCAACACAAGGAGATCTACTAAAAATTGTCGGCAGCTGACTGCAAACGACGGTATATCGAGATTGTGAAACTGCATTCACAACTCAAAAAAGCATTTGCCGCCACAGGGACAAAACCCAAATCAACACTCTTAATTAAAATGCGCATAATTTGAGACCGTACTGCTAAAACGTTAACGTAAGTCAAGAGGATTGACTTTATTGCACTGGGTTACCCCACATGTCTGTCTGTCTGTCTGTCTGTCTGTCTGTCTGTCTGTCTGTCTGTCTGTCTGTCTGTCTGTCTGTCTGTCTGTCTGTCTGTCTGTCTGTCTGTCCGTCCGTCCGTCCGTCCGTCCGTCCGTCCGTCCGTCCGTCCGTCTGTCTGTCTGTCTGTCTGTCTGTCTGTCTGTCTGTCTGTCTGTCTGTCTGTCTGTCTGTCTGTCTGTCTTCAAAACTGAACTTGTCTCCTAGATCGACCCAGACAAAAAATGAGTACAAGGAAAAGTTCTAGGAAGTAGAGGGTACCGGCGGGTGTTGAGTGTACCACTCCTTGTTGGTCTGTAAAAATGTATGAGACAACCATCATACGCACAATGTGCCACTGACGTGAAAAGGGTCCTTTTACTTGACATGTGTGCCCAGCTCTCTAGCGTAGTTGGCTAAACCGGATTGCGCGGTGACCGGGTGACAAACTCCTTGTGGTCCGGGTTCACTCCCGGGGGTAGGCAGAAAAGCCACATTTCTCCCAGATTTACGGTATTTACAATGGAATCAAGGCCGAAAGGTCGCGATATCCATAATACCAAGCCTAAGGGTTAACAAATCGTGGCTTATGGATACTAAAACAAACAAAAACAACTTGACATAGGTGTGTGTTGGCGTCTGTGGCTTTGGCTTTGCGAACCCGCTTCGTAAAGTGAGATGACAGGCTCGATCCTAGGTGCTAGCGATTTGGCCGCCGGCCGTTTTGTTTTGGTTTCGACACTAGGATCCAGAGTCCACCCTTAAGTGGGCAGTGGCGAACTACTGTTCCTAAAATTGCCTAGTAAAATTACAAACTACTACTAAATTTAAAAAAAATTAAAAAAAATAAACGCTGGGATTGGTTCTGCAGTGTCATATAAAGGATATGCGGTGAAGTTTATTATTATTATACACATTACATAAAGGACCATTTTCCCATGCCTTCAAGCAAATTTTGTTATACTGTTTGGCACTCGGTGAGTGATGAAGTCAACAACACGCCGGTCGCTTCTACTTCCTAGAACTTTACCTGCTACCTATTTAATGCCGGGTCGACATGCTGAGAGCCAAAGTCATTTTTTTTACCCAAAAAAAAAAAAAAAGTCCGTCTCTGTCAAGACCCGAACCTACGACCTTCGGGTATCAGAAAGTTTGTAAACATTAAAATAAAATATCAGTGTCAATGGGTAGTATTGTTATACAGTGTCTGTTGATCTGTCTGCAGAGAACAATGTGTGCCGGTTCATCCCCTACAAGTCGCTGTTCGCCCCACCAGTGCCTTTCTCCAACCAGCGAGACAACTGCTGGATTCCAGGCTTACCCGTCACTGTTGCTATTGTTCATTACGACAGACAGGCCGCCTTGAAGATGCTCAACCCCAACTTGTGAGTCAATGTTTGTGAAGTTATGTCAGATGATTTAGTGTCAACTTATTAGTGAACTTTTGTGAAACAGAAACAAGGTGCCAACGAGCCAGGACACTGACGTCGTTATTAAGACATCCAATTAAAATAGAAAGCGCTAAGAAACAGATTATAAACAGCATATTCATACCAAAACTGTGATACCTGTGCCAGACTTGGACATTATCTAAAACCAACCTGCGAAAAAATAAAACCTGTGAAATGGGATGCTTAAGAAGAACCGCCAACTTAACCATCCAAGACAAAGTTAGAAATTATCAGACAGACTGTGGGAACAAAAGCAAATTCACTCAGAAACAGAAGATCAAATGGTATGGTGATTTAGTAAGAATGCAGCCAGAACAACTACCAACGCAAGCGCTACACATGAACAGATCTGAAGTGAAAGCAAAGGACCACCCAAGTAATTCAGGCCCAGTGTCTGCGTGAATATTCAGGAACTTATGTCAAGAAATTCAGGCCAAATATTTTAAGTGGCTATTCATGAACCTATTTCAAGCCGCAAAATATGAGGAATTGTTCATGAACTTAACGTCAAGTATAATTCAAGCCCAATTTATTAGCGAAGACCACATTACCCACAGAGTGCTGATGGTCTGTAAAAATATGGGAAGCTCTGCCCATATGCCCGATGCGCCGAAAGGCGTGAAAAGGGAACTTTACTTTTTTACTTACTCATGTACTAATATTAAGTTAGATAGATTTGTTGGGACTTACCAACATAATGTATCCATTTTTCAGGCCCCTGGCAAACCTGTAAGCTTATTCTTTCTAGGCGGAATAATTTGGTAGTTTCCCCCTGGGGGTGGAAAAAAAGGAGGGGGGGGGGGGGTTGTCGATGAAACTGGTGAATATTGTGTCGCAGCGCCCATCCATGGTTCATTTATAGGGCGCTTTTCCACGCTTATTGAACGTATAATTCTAGTCCTACATTTTATAGACCAATCGACACTCGGTGGGTCATGTGATCAAATCACCCTCACCCTTACATCCCAGGACTTTGCCTGGTACCTATCTAGGCTAGGTCTACCTATGAGCCAAAGTCGATTTTGAACGGGGGTGGGGGGGGGGGGAGAGAGACCGATTTGAACCTGAAACCTTCAGGCCTGTTGCGAGCGTCTGGCCGCTAAAACGACGGCGGCTCTGCGTGGCTTGTGTAGAACTAGTTTTTCTCGCGGCATTGACTGTTAGGACTTCAGCAAAGATAGGAAAGCGTTGGAGTGCTTTTCCTGGCACTAAGAAAGTGTTTCTTATGTACACCTAATCGGATTCTCGCTGGGGCCGCGCAGTTCGTTCGCTGTGGTCTAATTCTGTTTGCGTGTGATCTTTGGATAAGTGACTAGAGTATGGAAATATATGCATGCAATAAAAGCAGTCCTCCTCCTGCCTCTCCCCCTTTTCTGTATTCTTCTTCTCTTCTTTTTCTCCTCCTCCTTCTCCTGCTTCTCCTGCTTCTTCTTCTTCTTCTTCTTCTTCTTCTTCTTCTTCTTCTTCTTCTTCTTCTTCTTCTTCTTCTTCTTCTTCTTCTTCTTCTTCTTCTTCTTCTTCTTCTTCTTCTTCTTCTTCTTCTTCTTCTTCTTCTTCTTCTTCTTCTTCTTCTTCTTCTTCTTCTTCTTCTTCTTCTTCTTCTTCGTTTTCGCGAAGGGGGCGGGGACTAGGTGGTCTCAAGGTAGAGTGTTAGAGGTTCCGGGTTCAATTCCCGGTAAGGACTGGGATTTTTTCACGTGTATTTGGACTTCTAGTAATTCTCCCTGGTCTCTGGTTAGTGAGATCGGACGTCCGTTGCGCACGTAAAAAATCCCTTTGTAAACCGAAAAGAGTAGCCTAACGGGGCTGCCCGTACAAAACTTGGAGTTTAAAATCTATCCAAAGTATTTCAGGATCCTCGCCGGTGCTACAGAGACTGTGCACTGTGTTGAGCTTCTTCGGACTCAGAGCACTTATGGGTTTACTACCCGTGTGTCATGACGTTGATCCATTATTCAAACCTTCTTCTTCTTCTTCTTCTTCTTCTTCTTCTTCTTCTTCTTCTTCTTCTTCTTCTTCTTCTTCTTCTTCTTCTTCTTCTTCTTCTTCTTCTTCTTCTTCTTCTGCTTCTGCTTCTGCTTCTGCTTCTGCTTCTTCTTCTTCTTCTTCTTCTTCTTCTTCTTCTTCTTCTTCTTCTGCTGCTGCTGCTGCTGCTGCTGCTGCTGCTGCTGCTGCTGCTGCTGCTGCTGTTCCTCTTCCTCTTCCTCCGCCCTTCTTTTTCTTCTTCGTTCTTAAAAGGACGGCTGGGACGTTGCGTTGTAGTTTACAGCTAGGACAGCACATCTGCGCCTTTCGGCCCAACACATTCGTCATGTAGTCATGCATAGCACTGCTCTACTGATACGGCCCAGTATATAATATGTTCCTTGTATTGGTTTTTACATTTTGTAGAAGTTAATTAAACAGGCTTAGGATGGGAGGAATGGTCATGCTGCATGGATAATACATGGTCTCTACAATAGTGGCCACGCTCCTGGCTGCTAGAGTCTACAGGACAGACCAAGAGGGAGAGGGAGACCTAGAATATATCAGACTATACGCAAAGTACTTCATGTTGACGGCGCGGCTAGAGAGCACTCACTAGCGCATACATGAATCTACAATACCACAAATACGAATACACTAGACCACTTAACTGATGTATCTTCGATAGAAATCCCACCTCGTCTGACCTGATACATGTGTTGCCAGCGGAGATTAATACTACCAGAAAAAAAGATGCGAGTGAGTAGTCCCATAACTAAAAGATATTAAACAAAAGTGTTTTGGATGTTAAGTCCCCAATGTGAATAGGCGCCTGTGAGAATAATAAGGCGGTTCTAAAGAGACGGACTAGTCATTGGTGTGGCTAGATTTTATGGCCTCAACCTTTGTGCCGAGGTCACTATGGTAATCCTGAGATCTGAAATGCAATGGCACTAGATGTATATAGATTGAATGAGTACCTGGCAGTGTACGGCTTCACAGCATCACATATTACCCAGCAGTCGAAAGCGCTACCGTTCCTCTTTTAAACCACGACGCCTAGCGGCACACCGCAGATGTTGACCACACATACACACACGCGCTCGCACGCACGCACAAAGAAGAAGAGTGAGCAGCTTGTAACTAATTCAGTTATTTGTGATCTTATACGAGATAAGTCAATGTTCTGTTTTCTCATTCATGAGGGCGTTAATTCATACGCATGGATATTCCTAACGGCAATGAATAAATGGACGGTAATTTATACACCCAATGCATCATTGTGTAGCAAATTCGATGGAATTGCTCGCTGGCATTAAAATCCCCAATTACCGATCAAATGTGCATGATTCACTGACACTCACGTGCCTTTTCCCCCTGCATCACGTATCTAGCATGCTTCAGGTGTGCATTTTTTCCTCTCTTTCTACGGCTTTTAATGTCCACGTAGACATAAATGCATTGAATAGGAACGTAAAGAGCTCGAGTGTTTCCATGCAGATTCGAGGAGGAAACTTTGTGGCAGGAACCGCACAAAAGTAGATGATCCTCTTCACGCCACAGACCACTTTAACCTGTGTGCTGTTCGTCTATCACGAGTGAAGATTAATTTTCATCCAAAGTATTATATATTACTAAAGTAACAGAGAATGTATTCATCGTCACTCCTAGAAAAAAAAAAGTAGAAAGATAGAAGAACACACTGGACAAATAAAAATCGAAATCTATAGTTACCGTGCCGGAAATCGAACTTATCATCACTACCCCCCGCCCCCTCACCCCCCCCCCCCCAAGGCGTCTTATTGGCCATGTCTGTTGTACAGCTTGAAATCCACAACTATGGAGTACGGAATACGTATGTTTATTTATCCAAAGTAGTAATAATCGAGGATTATGGGTAAAAAGGTTGTTGATTAGTCCAATATGTGCCCTACAAGTTCTTGAGCAGTGCGGACAACAGATGGGAGCCGCAGTAAGTGTTGGATTAGCAATACGATTCTTTCTAGTCTGCCTCCGTTTCTCTGTCTGTGCAACCTCCGCTGCCTGACAGACCGATGCACCATGTCTGAGGGACCTACACCATTTAGAACGGTCTTGTGCAGTAGCCTCCCATGTCGTTGTGTTAATGCCAAAAGAATTGAGAACAGCCTTGAAAGGGTCATTATAACGTCATTATAGTGTTTCTTCTGTCCTCCCTGTGACCTCTTCGCTTGCTGGAGCTCGCCATATAATACTGTCTTTTATTTTGTGCTTGTTAAACAAGTGTTAAGTAATTTAGTCATGTTCATTTTTTAGTGTTGTCGTTTATGGGTTTTCTTTGCCCTCTCTTCTTCGACTACCCCACAGTGTCCCTTGAAGTAGTCTTTCCAATAGAATCATGTCTTACCACGTTTCATAATCAAACTAGCTTGCAAAATTCCACCACTGCCAGAAGTGAATGATCTTGATTTCCTACGAATTTATTAATTTTGTCCCTTACATATTTGTTGGTTTTATGTTGTAAATAGCTAGTTTATACAATTCTCTATAGCATTTATTTTCTTCCTTAAGGACTACGAGACATTCCACGACTCACGTCTGTCATGTTGCTACAAGGAAAAATGTTCTACAATGTTGATGGCAGGCAATCTTACTTTGATGAATTCATAGCTTTTTTTTCCCCCTCTCACTCTGCTTACATGACTAATTGATATTGTATATGCGTGTTAATGTTTCGCGAAAAGTGATTTTTACTGAATAAACTGCACACCCTTGGTGTACCAGCTAGAGCCGTGAGTCAGGAAAACCATGCTGGAACCACCCGTCGTTACATCAACCAGAACAGAATAGGAGTTGTTAGCGACGCACTTATGGTCATGTCCGATGTGCGATGACGATGATCTTTAAAACGAACAGTGAACATTGTGCATGATAATAACGGCATGGCACTATTGCGTCTAGTTATCTTCTTCTTCTTCTTCTTCTTCTTC